ATTATACTCCAGCCAAATTGGATGAAGAATAAATGTAAACAAAGCAAATTAGGGTCATAACAACTTAGATGAAAAAAAAATATATAAAACTCGTATTTCTCACCAGGATACTGCACATTACTTCGGACTTTTATCAGTAATATTTTTAACTGCTATAAATTATCAGAAACACTCATAAAACTTCAATATTTTGACAAAAACATGGAAAATAGTAATAAAGCTGAAATAATTTTTACTTGACAGTCCAATAACTTATAGACTTCAGATAGAAACATGTTTGCAGTTTTAAATAAACTTTCCAAATAAAGTTGTAAATTATTATAAAACGTGTTCCTTTAGATGTAAACAACATTTGAAATCGATTACATAATGTAAGCTGACCCCGTATGAAAGTACGGTATTTCTTTCTACTGTTTAAAACGACAAATAATGTGTCTATAGCATTAATAGCATTGTGAACTGATTTCATTATTTTGATAGCAAGTTTATGAAGTATTAGTACATTTATAAATAAAACAATTGCTTTTTCAGTGTTTTTGTTTACATATGACGTGATCCTTGTAATCTTAAGACATTGCAGATTAAATTACAAAGATTAGGTAATTTTTAAAACTATACTACATAATTATATCTAAATTGCTTAGAATATTTGATAAAGTAGTATCTAGAAATCGAATTAAAATATAATATTGTCTAGTTTAGAAAGGTTATTAATATCTGCCTGTCACTGGTTGCTAAGCAACGGTTTGTCAGTAAACATTCTTAATCGAATTTGGGTGTAGTATATTTTATATTATAATGGCAGCAATATTATATACGCTTTCCTAGTGCAATAAGCGATGAGTATTGGAGTAATATTTTGAATCTAAGAGCAAGTCAAAATATGATCTATGATTTTTTTAAACTTCGTATGGTGCCTTTCCTCTATTCCCCCCACCCCCATTTTTATGACCGTCTCATCTTAGCCTATATTGATGATGTAGCCTATTTGATGTTTATGAAAAGCCCGTTGTGCAGCCTGTTCTTTTTTTAACTGTAAATTGGTATTATATATAAAGACCTCATTCTTTACATATAAAATTGCCGTTTTCTTGAAATAAATGAAGCGTTTTTTTTTCTATATTTTTTATTTCTATTAACCAAAGTAATCACCCGTGCAATCAATGGTTACGCATTGGTAGTTTATTGATTCCCTTATTGGAGAAATCAGGTGGACTAGAGGAAACAAATTCTTCAAAGGCATTTTGTACTGCCTCTCGGATATTGAATTTATTTCCGCCAAGAAGTTATCCAATTTCGGGGAAAAGTATGAGTCTGTAGTGACCATCACTTTACTAGGGGTAAGTTTTCGTTTAGGGCATTGTTTGGGTGCCGAACCAGAGGCCAACTTACTTGCTGAACGCTTACGATTGTCGAACAGATCCATTTCTCGCCATAAGTAACAATGCGGTTCAGAATTCCTTCATTTGTATGCTTGTTGAGCACTTCGCGCTGGCGATGATTGAATTTGTGGGGTAACCATTTGTCAAGCTTTTTTACCTTGTCAATTTGACGCAAATGAATCGTAGATTGAGTTTCATTAGTTTCCACAATCGTCTTAAATTCGTCATTGTCAACCAAGACCGCGGTGTTCATTTTTCACGTCAAAATTTCCAGAACGCAAGCGGGCAAACCAAAAAAGGGTGGTGCGTTCGTTTGTAGTGTTCGCTCTGTAAACATCGTTGATGTTGCGTGCTGCTGCCACGACGGTACTTATACTCCATAATTACTCGAATTTTTAACTTGACGACGCGAAATGTTCGAATGCGTTGGAAACAAAACACTAACTAATAAACAAAACACGATTTTATAAAAGACCTATTATATAAAGTTTTGGCGTCCCCTTAAAGTGCCCTGTAAACGATCAAACTTCTTGTCAATCTTTACGTGCTTGACAAACTTTTTGATAGTGTGCAGCTACGCTTGATGCGCTTGTCAAAAAATCTACGTGTTTGACGTGTTTGATGAAAATCTAGATTAGCCCCCTGTAAACGATCAAACTTGCTTGACAAATTTGCTTGTCAAACTTTACGTTTTCATCAATTAACAGCGCATACGATCAAGCCAATGATCAAACAAAGGGTTTAGCCGGATACGTATGACGAGTCGGCCCCCAAATGGGAATCAATATTGAAACTTATGTTTTAATATCGACTTGATGTTCAAACACGATTTATGTACTTTTCGCGACCGTCTTCCGCTTTGACCTTGAGATAGAGAGCAAAATATCCGTATGCTTGACTATTACTGAATGTGATATATGTCTAAAGCTAATTAAGATAAAGAAGTGAAACTAACACAAGGTGTTAGGTTACATTACAGAGTATATCACATATATTTTTTTATAATTTTTAGAATAAAAAATTACATTAAAAAAATAAAAAATAAAAAAATCATGTTTTTTTTCTGAGTTCTCTGTGACTTACAATCACGAAATTAATATATGTTATGCTCCTTTGTGTGCCCTATTACCCATAAAAATTGCGTGAAAAAAAAGTTGGTGCAACACAACGAAAAAAAATTATATGTGATTTCTGTCTTATGGTATACCCCTGTATTATAAGGTTTTCACATTACATCATTGTTTTTTTTTTCGAAATTTCACATCAGCTTGTTTTAAAACATAAGTAACTAGTCTTAAGAGATGGGATAATAGTTAAAAAAGAAATGAAAAAAAAACAGCCAGTGTTCAATACTTATTATTATTACTTTTTCGTGTCTATCAAAATACAAGAAACAAAATATTAATCATCGTCACTGTTGTAATTAATTACAATCGGAACACTTTGAGTCGCAAATAACTTAGTTAGGACCTCAGCAGGACGTACGATTTTGGACAAATATCATCCATATGATAGATAATAAATAATAGCTGCTACATGAGAACAGCATCCCACTGTACGTTTGCCATTGGGGCAAGCACAGCAATAACGAAGAATACTATTGTAGTCATTACTTCCGGAAATATAGTGAATGTAAATTCGATAGACTTTTCTATTTATACGTCTTGATTTCACTTCTGCTTTGATGATATTAGGTGCTGATTTCACATATTGTACTGAGAGATTATTTTGATCGTCCATTATTTCGGCCAAGTTAAATGCTGCACATTTAGAAGTAGAAGCTTTTTTGTTAATATATGGGATAAGTCGACACTTCTCGCAGAAAATATCATTAACTATTACGATTTTATTCAAACAGTCACTAAACACTTTAGCTTCTTCTTCATTCTTTATAATTTTTTTATAACCAGGAATCTTACACAGGTACTTGTTACAATTTTTACACTTTTTCGACATTATTACTTAATAATGATTTGGTTCGATAGTTAATAATTTCAAAATGCTGATACAAAATACCTATGACAGAATTTGAGTCCCAAACTGCCTTCTTGTGTAATACAAATGACTGCTACTTTAGCTAAACAAACGATGCAGTAAACAGCTCGATAACAAGTTCGAACTTGTTTGTTTATACACTCACACTACAAGGCGCGAATCACATATAATTTTTTTTCGTTGTGTTGCACCAACTTTTTTTTCACGCAATTTTTATGGGTGATAGAGCACACAAAGGAGCATAACATATATTAATTTCGTGATTGTAAGTCACAGAGAACTCAGAAAAAAAAACATGTTTTTTTTTTATTTTTTTAATGTAATTTTTTATTCTAAAAATTATAAAAAAATATATGTGATATACTCTGTAATGTAACCTAACACCTCGCGTTAGTTTCACTTCTTTATCTTAATTAGCTTCAGAGATATATCACATTCAGTAATAGTCAAGCATACGGATATTTTGCTCTCTATCTCAAGGTCAAAGCGGAAGTCGGTCGCGAAAAGTACATAAATCGTGTTTGAACATCAAGTCTATATTAAAACATAAGTTTCAATATCGATTCCCATTTGGGGGCCGACTCGTCATACGTATCCGGCTAAACCCTTTGTTTAGTTTCGGTTTAATTTGTTATTTTCGCGCTTAAAACATGTACGTAGAATTTTAATCTTTTTCTTCTTTTCATCCGTAATGTTCCGGCGATACATTTTCAGTAAATTAGTATATTTTTTTAATGCTATGCTTTTCATTTTCTTGTCCATATAATCTTTAGATTTTACTTTCCATAGATTCAGTATATCACGATAAATAGATATGAAATACAAGGTAAATTCTTTATCCGTAATAATATCATCACTTTACATTGTATTTTTTTTTTATTTGACGTACCTACCGTCTTCCAAGATGCAACACAACGACTGACATCATGCTTGACAAACACCACCGTTCACGTACAAACTTGTTTGTCAAGCACGACTTCAATCTAAATTTTCTTCAAACACGTCAAACACGTAGATTGTTTGACAAGCGCATCAAGCGTAGCTGCACACTATCAAAAAGTTTGTCAAGCACGTAAAGTTTGACAAGCAGTTTGATCGTTTACAGGGCACTATTGAAGTCGTGCTTGACAAACAAGTTTGTACGTGAACGGTGGTGTTTGTCAAGAAGGATGTCAGTCGTTGTGTTGCATCTTGGAAGACAGTAGGTACGCCAAATAAAAAAAATACAATGGAAAGTGACGATATTATTACGGATAAAGAATTTACCCTGCATTTCATATCTATTTATCGTGGATATGCTGAATCTATGTAAATCGTAAAATCTAAAGATTATATGGACAAGAACAAGAGAAGCATAGCATTAAAAAAAAATACTCATTTACCAGAACATTACGGATGAAAAAAAGAAAAAGATTAATATTCTACGTATACATGTTTTAAGCGCGAAAATAACAAAGTAAACCGAAACTAAACAAATTTGTTTGATCTTTGGCTTGATCGTATGCGCTGTTAATTGATGAAAACGTAAAGTTTGACAAGCAAATTTGTCAAGCAAGTTTGATCGTTTACAGGGGGCTTAACACGGGACAAGTAACTCCCACTTGCCTCCCCTCCCTTTTGGGTCTAAGCACGGCCCTGAAACCCACACCCTAAGACTTCTATGTATACTACTGGCAACTGTTGTGAACTAAAATTTTAACATAGCACGAGCGCACATTTGCGCGTTGCCGTGTCGCTTACTTACTAAGTAAACGAAGTAGCACTGCAATCGACTAAACGATGTTTTTTGTTCGCACACCTAAGCGAGTAATATTCCAGTAGCGAACAGAATGTCTAGTAGTATATACAGAAGTCTTTGCCCACACAGTTTATCGAATCTAGAGTAGAGTAGGGGTATCAATTTGACTTACATTTTATTAATTGCTGTCAATCATATAAAACATCAACTATGCAGTTTTGACTACAATAAGAATGCGGTCTCTGAAACTAACATTTTCTTATGATAACACTCATCTAACCATTCTTCGGACACTATAAGAGCATGTTTTCCTTTTTTTAGTTCAATAATCTCGTCACTGTTTGTTGATTTAGATATGATAATATGAGTAAGGCTTGATGAATTAACTTCACATAATGTGGCACCGAACATTTTTGCTTTAATAGCATCAAACTTGTTATTGTTATATACGTGAATACAACATGGTCGTAGAAAAGAATACGGATTGATTGCTCCAAACAATTCATGGTCAATATTTAACATCTCCTGTTTCGTAAGGTATATGTTTTGTTCCTGTAAAATAACATATGAGTGTTAAATATATTGTTTCTAGAAACAATATTATAATATATTAGATTATTACAGACAAATATATTTTTCTTGCAACAAAGAACTAGGACTTTTTTTTTTAAATAAAGCAGTATTATTGTCTGTCCGATTACTACTTTAACAATTACTAACAATGGTAGTATATGACAACTTACACGCTCATCGATTCTTGCGAATATCTTTTTTAATGTCTCTTCGTTAATATCTGTGGTGTAACAATCGCCAAACTCGTCATATTCCCTACAAAGGAGTTCTCGCGTCGTCTTCTTCATGGCGAGCATATCTAATGGTGTAATAGTGCAAGGAGACTCGGAAGACGGTAAGTTGATAAGCCAAACACAGCTGACCACATCGTATATCTGTGACTCGATTATTGCCCTTTCGCGTTTATTGATTTTACCAACTACTGCACACCATGTGTCTGGTCCTATTAACAAAAAATGTCCACATTACAGATTTAACTTGTAAAAATAAGGGCATTCGCTAAGCAGGCCTGGATTTACGATTTTTTCTAACCAGGGCAAAAACATTACATTGCAACTTTCTACATCCCTTCTCCGCTGTGTGTATGGATTTTATATTTCCACATTTTGTAGTGTATGACTTTTTCTTTTATGGGCTTTAAAAACTTATCAGTCTTATCGTAGCCTATAATGTATATGAATTTTAACATATTTTTGAGGCTCGTAATTTTTTAGCTGACTTTAGCAGCCGGGGCAACTGCCCACTTGCCCTTCTTAAATCCGGCCCTGACGCGAAGTGAAACGTGTGCACGCATAACTTAGCAAACGCGCTAAGACTTATCACTTCGGTAATTCTATTATAAAAAATAACTTCTTTTTAGAGTCTATATAAATTATTTATCTGTGGAAATGTTGAAATGATTCCATAACTTACCAACATTAGATACGGCAATACCGCTGTGCCTTTTTACTATTTTCAATAATTCTGATCTGCTACACAGTTCATTATCTGATAGTATACATATTTTTCTGCCCTGTAATGCCTTTGATGTTACTTCGACAGGATCAGCAATAGTAGTACGGAATTGCTCTGCTACTTGAATTTCTTTAGCTCGTCGTTTTCCTCTTATTTTTTGGGTAGCAGTACCCATTAATTCTGAACTAACCAGCTTTGAGCTTAGTTTTTTTACTGGGTCTTTAACCTTGAAGAAGAAATATAACTATACCTTATAAAATAAATACATACTCATATAATATTGATACTAGACAAGCTGTTCGGTACTGGAATATTACTAAGAAATCATAAAAAGAAAGACGTTATATTAAACATAATAATCTTATTCACTATCCTCGGAAGGAAGGGAATCTGTCGGTTAATAATTTTAAAGTGTTTTTCGTTTATTTGGTAAATTACATAGCCATATATGTTCTTGCCCCTAAACCAAATATAAGTTATTTAAATAAATAAATATTAGACAACATCACATACATTGAGCTACAAGATAAGTAGCTAAAGTACCACAGACCTATTAGAAGTACCATAACACCCAGACCGGAGACAATATAGCAAAAGTTCATTTTTTACATTCAGCCGACCAGGAATCGAACCCGGGACCTCAGAGATTGCAAAACCTTGAAAAGGCGTGCGAAGCATTCGGCTACGGAAGTTTAAATAAATTTTTCTAACGTTGAAAAGCACAAGCCTCTGAGCCCATGCCGCCATTTTCGATTTGACAGTTTACTACCTTTAATGAAAAACTCGAGTATAGAGCTGCAGTAGTCAGTATGTATTAATTTTCTTCGATATCGGAGTCAGTTATTGAACCCGTGTAAACGCACCATTATACTAGCTTACCGGCGTGAGTCCGTCGAAGTAGTCGAGTGTTATGACGTCATCAACAGGTTTGTCGTTGCGTATGCGCTCTACGCGGGGGAAACGCAGAGTGTACTCTGTACCGTAGCTAACACTGCGTATCAATTCTGTCGCGCGGACCTTAAACGTTATGCAATAAAATATTAGTTATTTCATTTTCTATATTGACTTGACCGGGCATCGAACCCGGGACCTCAGAGATGGCCACACCTTGAAACTGCGTGCGGACCACTTGGCTACGGAGGTCGTCAAATGCCTGTTTCGAAGTGGGAGTAATGCTGTCTAAACTGCAGGTAGTATCAAATGTTACGCTCAGAAAGTTTTAAGTGCTTTCTAAAAGTATGACTTGGACTAGAAGAATGAATTAAAAGATGATATTGTATATTAGGATAGAAGACGGCCTTTGACACATATCAAAGAATTAGCGATGTAGTTAATTTGATCTAATTACATTATACTCATTAACACCAAAACGGTTAAATAAAAATAAAATTCGAAAAATTAAAAGCTTTAAAAAGAAGTAAACTACTCCCTTAAAACGCAGAAAATATAATAATTTTTACACCATAACCTTTCGATTCTAAACTTTGATTACGACAACAATTCAAACGCATAAAAAATCATAATTTTTTTAAATGCAGAAGATGATTGTGTACTATCTGTTTTTGACTTTCATGATTATGAGAAATATTTAAATAATATTATTATAAAATAAATCAATGATTTCTTTTATTTTACGAATTACAACAACATATAATTATTAGGTAATAAAGTATTCGGTATTCAGCTGAATAGTATGGACATATTCGGCATTCGGCCGAATATAACAAAAGCAGCCGAATAGGCCGAATACTAACCGAATATTCGTTGCAAGTCTAATATATAATAAAATATATTCGCCTCTATGTATCTACCCTATAAATAAAATCTCATGTAAAAAAGTCATATACAACTGGTTAGTGGGTAGATCATACGATGATACAGAAAAAATACTAGTTGTAATTATTTAATTGATACCAAGGTAATTATTTGATTTAGATGTCAACATAAAAATAAGTCTGACTCATATTTATCATAAACAAATTGTAATATAGAATCATTTTTAAATGAAATAAATTTTTTATTTCTTATATTTTAACCCATACAAAAAATTGCCAGTTTTCTTTTTAACAGACTTTAAAATCGAAAAAGGAGGAGGTTCTTTGTTCGACGGCGATTTATTTACCTGTAAAACAGTCGAATGTTCAGGCAATATCCAAAAATCTGGTTTTTCCTTGTTAAAGACTAGTTGTGGTGGTGCTGGCATAATTCGTGTAGGTGTCCAATATTTCTCTAATACAGTGCACAAAGATTCGCGTTCCGCGTGAGAGAGTCCTGTTACGACACGACCGACGCAAAGCCAACGTGTACTAGAGTTCGGTTCACCTGTAAGAGTTCTTGTTTTTCATTTAAAAACTACATATAACATCGACGAGACAACAAAGGCAAAAAGTACTAGAACGCACCATGTTTGACAAGATAACAGGCACACCAACGAATTTGAGAGTCAATAGTGACAAATAGTGATACACAGCATATAAAAAGTGACACTAAATATTGAATTATCTTAGTGTACCTACTAGTTAAACGTTAAGGTAGCAGGCACACTAGAAATATGATTTGCATTAGTTTGAATTACATGTCAAAAAATTGTGACTAAATCAATACTCGAAGTTTCATTTCACTCACATCAAATAATTCGAAATATTTCTGACTATGGGTATGCCTGCTATCTTGACGCTTAAAGCAACGGCAACTCCAAAAAACAGGTAGGATTTTGAAGTTAATAAATAAACAAAACTTGTGATTCTCATGATGATGAATAAACCCTAAATATTAAACTTCATCATACTAAATGTGCTGCAATTAGGTTAAAATATATTTTTAGTGATGTGGGGAGTACCTTTGAATAAAGGAATGTTAGTGCAAATCAATCTTATTTTTATGTAAGACAATTTACCGAAGCTATAAATCCAATAATAAATCTATAAATTACCCGGTGTAGATTTATCGACGCAAGCAACATAGAAAGATCTAGCTCGACCGTGTTTTTTATTTGCGGCCTCATCGGCTCCTATTATAACCAGATCTAGGTCTGTCATTGTGCTTTCAGTGTACTGAAACAATACAAAAAAAGTATTTATAAAATACTTTTATTTTATACCTGTGGAAAAATACATAGACATATTTTGTGGATATCTACTAAAAATACCCATTAGCTTAACACTGTATAGGCTTATGATCCTGGTGCCTTGGATTGGTTAATACTTGCCGGATGTCAAAAGTTTCAATGTTTTATGAAATCATGCTAAAATTACATGCCGTTGTTCTGCCAGCTTCTGAAGTGCTATAGTTTAGTATAGATTTTCTCATACTTTTGGCTCCAAGTATCCCGTAAAAGCTCCTAAGTAAAAACGAACTTTTTAACTAACCCCCCTTTTTAGCTTTTATTTTAATTAAAAAATACAATGTTACAAGAAATAAAGGGTGGGTTTTGTTTTTGTCTCAAATAAAATTTCAGGGATTATTTTGGACAAGTTGTGAACCCTAGGGGGGTGTCGAAACCCCTAGAGATTTAAAATTCATTATTAATACAGATTTCTAGATGTGGCTTTGCTTGCCAGACTGACGTGCGCTACAGACTCGTTTTTTCTTCAAAACTATAAAGTTAACTTGGCTTATTTGTCACTATTTCGTAAGGGACTGAAAAATAAGGACTAGATGAATCAAGAATTCATTTCTGATGACGGACACTTATTTACTCACCATATTCTAATGTTAATTTTTATTTGCTACACTTTAGATTTATTTCTTGAAAATTGCACTTTCACTCGTAAAGTATAGACTTTCAGAAAAAAAGTTGACAGAAAGAAAAAGTTGATTAGAAAAACCAGTTAGATTTTTTTTTAATTATGCATGAGAGGTCAAAGACCTACATAACACAATACATAATTGTTGACTATTGGGTATGGCAACTTTTTAGAAAGTTTAGATGAGAGTATTTTAGATCGTCATATTGTGATTTGTTATCAAAAATAATAAATATAAAAAGAATTGATCAATAGATCCTATCCGACTTATATCTAACGAATAATTTTGAACAAGTAATTCCGTTTTTTTTTTTATTCGCGGTGCTCGTCAGAATAATACAGGAAAATTATCATTAGCATTATTAGCTTTGAAATGGCTATAAATAAGAATAATTATACCTCTGGTTTAATTTTATACCAGCCGGCGTTTCTTCGACTTGGTATATAGTAGGATTCCACATCTTTTAAAACAATTCCTTCTTCTTCATTTTCTATAGCTTGATTGAGTTTATCTAATATATCTTTACTGAAATATTGTAAAGACTTATTATATAAATATTATGTGTGAGCGAACATACTTTGAATTCTTAGTACGTATTGCTGCAACTGTCTGCCGACAGAATGCAGTACTTGTAATATATTAAACAACAAACAAAGATCATTCTAATACTCTATAGTTGATAGAAATAATTACTCGAGAAAACGTCATAACGTTAGCAGATATATTTTACCAATAGACGAGAATTTGAGTGAGGTAAGAATTGTTAATTGCTAAAAATAATAGTATCCTAACTATTAGCAGCTCTTATTTAATTCAAATTCTTATTTATTTGGTAAAAATATGTTCTTAAGTTATGACATATTCTCAAGTGATTATTTATTTTTGAAAAATATTTTTTTACAAGAATTGTAAAAAAAATGTTTTCTTTACAGTCGGAAGGTGTGTATTTCTATCCAATAATATATCATAATGACATAGCTAATTACGCCCGTTTGTTTACTGTGTGTGCTAGTGCTATTGCCCGCACTGAGTTTTGCGTAATATTCCCTATTCACGCATTGACGTCTACACTTACCTATTTTTAACGGTTTCCCTTACACTGTTTTGTATTACTCCAGTCACATTACTAAATAACGAGTCCAATATTTTTAATCTTTCTTTTAATGATATGCCGCCTTTTTCTTGCGAGCCAATGAGATGTCGGCCATTATAGAACAACACATCGAATGCACAGAAACAGGGACGGTAACTTGAATAACTCGTAATTTTTTTTACATCAAATGCCATACCTGAAATTTTGTTCGACAGAGAAAATATGTAAAGTGTAAACTTATACAAATAACTGAGTATGTAATATAGGTATAACATAAAAAAAACAAAAAGAAATGTCGTAATTCGGACGACTGCTCTAACAAAATTTTACTCGACAAATCAAAAGATGTTCTTAGTTAAGAAATATCATGTATGATTACATTAATAACATACGACGTATTTTTGTATCTGTATGCCGCCAGAAAGCATTACTAGCATATAAACTAAACAGTTTTTTTGTGTACGTCAACCGTCATTCAAAGGTTACTGAGAATTGTAAAAAAAAAGTTATAAAGTTAAAAAAAGAAAACATACAGATGTTACATTTTTTCCTGACCTATGCAAAATTATAAAAATTATTCAAAATTTGGAGCCAGTGGGTCTGCTAGAAGTACCCTAGAATTTCAGTCAGTGACAAAATAAGGTATTTTGAATTGCAGTAAGTCTTAAAGCACTCATTTAAATTAAATGTGATTTGAAAATGTGCCTCGTTATGTGATGCCCTCTTGATCACTAAAAATTTAAGCTTCTAGCTTACTCCACTACGAAATTACAAGTGTCAAAATTGACTTTTCCAAAAATGAACTTCGAGAAAATGATGGTACGGCCGTGCCTTTTTTACTTTTTTGCAAGACTTGGCTGAGGCACTTCCGTGCCCCCAGATAAGAATGAAGGGAATCATTCATTTCCCCTATCCAAAAAGTTCGAAACCTGTAGGACGCGGCCACGTATTGTATTTACGTTTACGCATTAGGTATAAAGGAGGCATATAATTTATTAAGTTTTTATATAAAATTTTCGGTATTATCTCCTATTTTATCAAAAAATCTGCTCTGTACATAACTCAGTCGTATGATAGCAAACAATACCTCTGCTAATATACGTTTTTACTATACTAATACTATAAAGAGGAAAGATTTGATTATTTTTTTATTTGCATTGCAAAGGCTCAGGAACTACTGAACCGATTTTAAAAATTCTTTCACTTAAGGGTAGCTACATCATACGGGTTTAGTCGCGGAAAACAGCTAGAACATATATAATTATAAAGATATTATAAAAAAAAAAAATATTTGACATGTTTTCTCAAATAGCGCAGTCCTGGTTTGTTTACTGTATGTGATAATCTATGTTGAGCTTTAAAGAGTGAAATTAAACGTATAAAATATAACAACCTTTACAACTGAAATGCTCATTTACTTTATGCCAGCCCATCATCTCTCCATCCAATATAAAACTTGTTACTTCAGAATTGAAACAACCTTTTAAGAGGGGTGTCAGTGATCCAGAGTCATATGTTTTTCCATAGTTATCAGAGTATTTGTGACCTTTTCTGGAATAATATTCGAAGACCCCATTTTCCATGTGTACCTGTAATAAAATAATTTACAGCAATAACAAATGTTTTGTACATAAATATGAGTGAGATTTAGAGCTTTTTTCAGCTCAGACCAATAAAAAAATTATTTGGTCTGTTTTCAGTACTTTTGTTAACAAAATATTCACTAGTTAGATCCATAAACACATACTACAGGGGATTCAATAAGTTGTTTTTGTAATACACCAGATACAATTACTTAACTGATGTGATAATGAGACTACATCAACAATATGACTACAAGGATCCATATAAAATAATATCTACATCACTCATTACTAATTTTGTACTGGACTTCCTATAGAGTCAGGGTGAGCCCAGTAGGTTGAGGGATTGCTGATAGCACACGAGAAAGTCCAATAGCACACGAGAGAGTGATTTATTTACTATTTTTCACGCCTTATATATATTTTTAATAGAAATTAGTTCCTATTTTTACCAGTGGCGGCGCCACTATCGAAACCTACTATTTACATGGTACTATTTACTAAGGCAATTCCGTAAAGAGCCTCAAAATTTATTTACTTTGAAACATACACACTAATTATGTTATATATAAAACTATTATAAAAACTTATATTACTTAAGATTAAGACTAACAAAACATTAATGCAAAACGAATTATTATAAAACTTAATGCTAATATCCCGCACAAATTTCAAGTCTCAGGAGCTAACCCCATGTGCAATGGAATTTGTATCTGGGGTATGACTATGACAAGAACCCTAAATTTTTTTAGTTACAGGGTTCTTGTCATAGTTATATAAATTGGTTATCAATTTTAATAAAATATGTATTTCGTTTTCTCTATATACGCAATAACGAAGTCATAATGAGATTCATGTGTTCATGAGTGTAAACGTATATTCATTACCGCATTTTCAATCAGTTTTAAGAGTCTGGAATATTGCCTGATAATATTAATTATCACCGGGACCCAAAATAAAATATCTATTACTCGGTGAATCGCCGCCAGAACTAAATTATAGCTCTTTCAGCTTGATAGTCACAAAAAGTTTATGATATTTCTGGCTTTAAGACACAATATTACCTAATTCTTACCTGAAATCTTTCACCATCAAATTTATTTTCAACGATATAAGTTTTATCAAAAGAGATATGTTGTTCGAGTTGTGTTACGTCAAGTCGCTCAGATAGCATTGGACTGATGGCATAAAATACTTTGATGCCCAATTCTAGTGGACGAGTATCACCATCCTCAAGCTCATCACACACCTAAAGATACATAGTAAGAATAAGTTGATATAATTGTGTTCTTTATTGTATAAAACTTAAAAGATATTATAAGAATTAATTAATAACTAAGTACCTACAAATTGTTTCAGTTATTGCATGCTGTTTACCAGTAGAATATGAAATACTTATATTGTTGTCTTTAATTTAGTAGTTGGTTAGAATACCTGTTTCCATAATCATTGCGTTATGTTTAGGAAATAAATAAAAGTTTTTTTACAGGTGCCTCTCCGTCAACTTCATAGATATAGACATATTTAGATATTCCTCTTAGACGTGAAAATGGCAATTGATGTTCTGACACAGAAATCACCTTAATATGTTATAGAATTAACGGTTGTAAAATTTTGGTTTTAATATTTACTTATGCACTTATTCCTTGCTTAAATATGTATTATTTCAAGGACATTGGTGTGGGTTTTACTGTACATCTGACAACCCATTACATTACTTTAATTAAGTAAAGCTTAATGTACAACTATTTGATGTCCCTTAATTTAAAAAATAAAATAAATAAAAATATAATTTTCTTACAACACTTACTTTATAGCTAGATTACTTTTATGTAATACAGATCTGTTTTTTGTCTGCCCTAGGTACAGACTATAAATACCTAGTCTGAATTCAACATTATTAATTTACTTATTATTATTTAAATCTAATACAAATTAAAATTATGCTTATTTTACCTTGGAGAGACTACCACAATTTTTAAAACATTCAGGAGCATCTGGATGGAATGCAGCTAAGATACGATTTGATCCAATCCCAAGTTTTAGATCTTTCAATATAATTCTCAGAAACCATTTAAATTGTTCTGCTGTTAAATTTTTCAATGCATAAACAAAAGTGTCATCTAATATAGCTGAAAAATGTTAAGTAGTTACAAACAAAGAATTTCAACATTATAAATATGTATTAAGAACATACTTATAATAACAGGTATAAGATGTGATTTTTACATTGAAATCGCATCTAATACCCATTATTATAAGTATGTAATAATGCAGCGCAATAGTTTAAAAGTTAATGTATTAAGAATCCAAATATGTTAAAGCTAAATATATATCAAAATCTCTAATAATGTATACTTGAGAAACTTACATCCTTTCTTGCCTACTTCTGCATTTGCTATTTTGTCTAGGATTTCATTAATAATACCAATTGTCACTATACTATTTTTTGTATGAATATAACTTTTTAGAGCAAAGTATGCTACTCCAGCAAAGTCACTATCTTGAGAGCTATCTACTGACTTAAAATTCAAAAGCTTCTTAGCTGTACCAGACTGTTTGCTAAGAGATAGAACCTTGACTAATAAAACACCCAAGTTTTTTTCTTTTAGGTTATAAGGACCCCTATCTCTGTCACAGTCTGGTAGTAGAAGTCTTAGAACTGGAAAAATAGTTCCATTCTGAAAATATGATGAGATTTTGTTAATATGCATAAGAAGTTTAAGTGTGGCATTTCTAATGAAATGGACAGGTACATTCATAGCAAATTTTATTTCTACCAGCTAAGCTATAACATTTAAACTATACACAACTAGGGCATTTAGAATAAATAGGTGAACATTGTAAGGGTGATGTCTTGTTTATGTCACAACTTTTTTAACAACATTGAATTCTTCTCTACTAAGTATGAAAGAGTGGTACTACAGTGGTAAGTGCAAAATAATTCTTCTCATATAAATAAAGTGTTATAGCTGTAAATTTCATCATTAAACTACAAAGATAAATATTATAATAAAAATATACCTTTTGTCCTTGAATAGAAGCTACACATACTTTAAAATGGTTGATAAAATTTTCTAAAATTTCATATTGCTCCTGTTTTTTACCAGAATTTTGGTATTTCTTCTTATTTTTTTTGGTTTTGAAAAGTTTCTCAAACAAATCACATAACTTTTCAAATTCTAATGAATTTGCAGGAATCACTACATTTGATGTTGCCATTTTTCAATGTTATAATAAATTGTATTTCAGTCTATTTAAATTCTATCTAAACCTTAGTGGTGGTACGTAATTAAATCTTTTTGTTCATGCAGACTAAATATTTTTAATAAAATGTGCTTTTGATACTTGTGTTAAAATTATATATAATTGTTTTGTTTTTGTAAACTTTTCTTCTTCTTTTCAAATAGCTTAGCTGCACATTTCGCACACTTTTGTAAATTAGCCAAGTTTATACATTATAACGTTAGTAATTTACAAATGAAACCATTACTATATAATAAACTCTTACCCGATATTACACCTCATTATTCTGTTATTAGAATTGAAATTCAATGAAAGACATTTGACACATTATGTGACAAAAACGTATGTCTCTTTTGATTTTTTTTAACGGTTTTGGAAACACCCATACAGCCACATCTTTAGTACACTGCTCTTTACAAAGGTAAAATATCCTTTTATTATACAACATTAAATTTTCATATTATATCAAAATTTGAAATTATAAAATTGAAAATATATTCAAACGTATCTTCATTTTCTAGTAACGATGGCGAGAAGCGGGGAATGTCTTCGTCTACCAGAAGCATTTACTAGAAGCAATCTTTGGACATTGAAGGCAGGACAATGCAGACTCAAATAATCTAATGTGGGTGCTGTTGACTCACACTTGTTCACACAGTTTCATTACCTGTTATTATTGAGTGAGATGGTACCCATAAGAATTAAATTTCTTTGTCTAGGTTTTTTATTAATAGCTCTCTCATTTATGTGGTGTAGGTATGTATTATTTTAGATACATTCTCCAGAAAGGCAAGGACACTAAGGGAGTCGGTTATAATTAAAAAATATTTGTTATCTCCGATTTCTCTAATATATTGCAGAGCGGTATAAATGACATAATTTATTTATTTAATAATAATAATAATAAAAATGGTTTATTGCCTCAAATTACAAAAGCAGTACATTATATATATATAAAAAAAAGGAAAATACTGAGACAAACGGTGGTGACTCAGCTAATGTTGAGCAAGAGCATGCACTTGCCCAACGCTGATTTTCAGTCACCCCTCTTTCCCAGAAGATCAAATGTGGGGATTTTAGTATTAAAGGAGCAGCAGCACAAACTAAGCAATAATAATTTAGCTACGATTACTCTTTTTACAATATTACAAATATATATGAGTCAGACACCAAAATATTATACTGAATATCTATTAATTAATCAACTGTCATTCAAATTCAAATAATATGCAATATATTATAATTTAGCACTTTGCACAGATCAGGTATTATTACTGGGTATGTGTGTATGTTTCGTTGTGTATGTGTGTGTGTTTTTGTGAGACTGTGAGTGGTATTTATTTATTAAACTTTATTGACCAGTAATAAAAAAAGGTACAAAAGGCGCACTTAATGCTAATGACATTCTCTCCCAGTCAACCTTTAGGAAGAACGATAAACGCGATGGCGGCATTAAGAAAAAATTAACTATGCATAGACATGCATAGAAACTGACTAATATATATATATATATATATATATGTATGTATGTATATATACATACAACTACATATATACATACAATAGCACAAATATATGTACATAATACTGATGATGAATTTCACATATTTTTCATAAAAAAGGCACGAGCTTTTCGTTTAAAAATAAATTTATTGGGAGATCTTCTGATGGGGTCAGGGAGACTATTCCACGATCGTATGGCTTGGAGGGTAATAGAGTCGAATATAAAGCCAGAATGAAAAAGAGGAGTAGAAAGTGAGAGTGTGTTAGAAGAACGGAGTTGTCGATCATGCGAATCGCAAAGATACTGGAATTTACATTTTAAGTAATCAGGAGAACGTGGATTGGAGAGAACAGAATAGAGTGTGCAGAGCAGACGTAGTTGTCTCCGCTGACGTACGGGGAGCCATTTAAGCTGCGACCGATAGCAAGAAACATGATCATATTTCCGAAGGCAGAAGACGAAGCGGATGGCATTGTTGATAAGGCGGTCCAACTTATTCAGAAGATCCTCGTTTAAGTCAGAGTAACAGACATCCGCATAATCAATGAGTGGTAGAATAAGGGAGGCAGCAAGAGTGACCTTAATTTTAATAGGCAGAAAATTTCTGAAACGATTAAGGGAACGCAATGAGTAAGTAACATCACGACTAACCTTCGCCACCTGTGTTGTCCATTTCAGCTCCGAATCAATATGAAGGCCGATTTTCTTTTGAAAACCGAGATTCTTGACACTAGAGCTAAAGGGTATTCTAGAGCTTTCAAACACTACAAGCGGGAGCAGGCCGGTATCCAACTTAGAAAGCTGTTTGGAGCTCCCAACGACAATAGCCTGGCATTTCCTTGGGTTAACGGAAATTCCAAAATGAGACGACCATTCGCTGATATTAGAAAGATCATTATTCAGTTTAGAAATGCCCGACTTAATTTCCTCCGTCATGGTTTGTACATATATCTGTAAATCATCTGCATAGAAATGATAAGAGCAACCAAGCGAGAAAGAGAGGTAATTTATAAATATGGAGAATAGTAAAGGAGAACGAATCCCCCCCCGGAGGGACTCCAGAAATCAGATCGTTCCAAGTAGATAATTCACGATCCTTCCGTACAGCCTGCTGACACCCACGAAGATAAGCAGAGAACCAATCCAATGTCAACGATGACAGATAAAGAGTCTTAAGAACGGCCAACAGAAGGTCATGGTCAACCATATTGAAAGCATTGGAGAAGTCTATAAGAACAATGATGGTGACCAATTGCCTTTCCATGCCAATCCTAATGTCCTCGGTGACTTTCAGAAGAGCAGTAGTTGTATTATGTCCGGCGCGGAAGCCGGATTGGAAAGGAGTGAGAAGGGATTTGGAGTGAATAAAGTTCGATAACTGTTCATGGGCTGCGGCTTCTAGGATTTTGGATAGAAAAGGAAGGATTGATATAGGCCTAAAGTCATTTAGTAGTTTTGAAGAGGAGATTTTAGGAAGGCGAATAACATATGACATGATATGACCAGCCCTTTTACGTCCCCACTGCAGGGGCTCAGGCCTTCCTTATGGATGGTTAAGGAGGATGGGCCATGACCCTCCACGCTGGCCCAATGCGGATTGGAGTGTATTAACGACTGCAAATGCAGCCGGGACCAACGGCTTAACGTGCCTTCCGAAGCACGGAGTAGCTCGAGATAATAATTTTTCGGTCGCCCATCCCGTAACCGACCCTTGCGAATGTTGCTTAACGACAACGATCGCGGGCCGCGGCGCTTATCTACTACGCCACCGAGCTACTCCATGAATAACATATGCTTTACGCCAAATCAGGGGAAAATCACCAACGGTAAAAGAGAAGTTGACGATGTGAACAATAACCTGAAGAATATTATCTAAAATGTTGAGAATCAATGTCTCTGCTCACATCGTCACATCCCACAGCCTTTGACTTAATAGAGATGATAATCTTTCGTATATCATCAGTCACTGATGATATACGAAAGATTGGAGAAAAGGAAAATGATTCAGAGTGAAGTTGAGCCTTGGAAGCAATTTTTGTAATAGTAGTCGATTTGGTATAAGAATCTAAAGAAGAGGTAGAAGAAAAATGATGATTGAAGTCGTTAAGTGAAAAGGGGTAGGACTGGGGCTGTGAACATGATTTTCCCAAACCCTGAGAACGTAAAAACTTCCAAATATTGGCTGAAGAACAATTAGAGATGTTTTTATGGAAATAATGTCGCTTCGCTGCTCTCACCATCCGATTGCATCGATTGCGTACAATCTTATAGAGACCTCAATTCTTCTCCGTCCTGTCGCGCTTGAAAGCACGGAAAGCCCGATCTTTTCTTGACATGGCCATACGAACACCTTTACTAATCCACGGAGCAGGCAGCCGCTTCAGTCTGACAGCTCTTAATGGAGCATGTGTATCGTATAAATTAAGTAAACATCTATTAAAGATAGCGACGTTCATATCGATCGAAGCAGAATCAAATATAGCAGAAAAGTCAAGCTTAGCAGAATCCTTTTTTTTTGACGCTGAGAAATGCGTTCACGGGTTATGTGGGACTCCTCCTGTGGCCCCACCCCCGAAGGAGCTAGACAAGAAACAGGAGTTTACCCACTAAAACTCAGCGATGTCCCTCGCATGAAAGGCGATGCACGAGATCGGCCCGGAGGCCATACACCGCGCGGTTCGCCCCCATTTCGGCCCGCCCTGAAAAGGGCAGGTCCCTCTCGGGTTGGGCGGCACATCTCAGAGACACTCGAGACGTATCCCCCCAGACAGGGCGGAGACGTGCAATGCCGGCTAGTGCGCAAACCAGCCGGCTGCCCGCGACTAGGGACTAGAGATGCGCGACTGTGCAATCTCTAGTCTCTTTCCCATCCAATTGGAAGGACCCACACAGGCAGAGCCCTTATCATGGATCCCTCCCCCCCTACGGACGCAGCTACCACCGGAGTACGGCCCGACAACAGCCCTGAAAAGGGCGCTGTCAGGCCTCATCAACCGGCTCCGCCGCTCCTCTCTGCGCGGCCCCGGAATTGTACCGCCCGGCCCGGCCGCCACACACACCAAAACGGTGTGTATGGCGGCCGAGCCATACACAAGAACAAAGATAATTAACATAATTTTTTTATTAGTTTACATTAATTTACAATACAAATTATTGATAGTCTTAAGCAAATTCTCATACGCATATTTCGCCTTTTTTATAAATACGAGCGAATACTTTTGCTTCTAGCCTAGACTCATGAGGTTTTGCCTATTCAAACGGCCCATCAGAATCATTTTCCTTGTCTGATTGATTACCAGTAAGATTTGAAGTGTTTGCTTCCGACATTACTGTATAACTTTTGTGAGAATTAAAATATATAATCATTTTTTGGCTTCAATGAATTTCTCCGAACATTTAAAATCCATTTGTACATTGGAAAAGATCGCTCTACGTCAACTGAGGTGAGGTTAGCAAATTTATACACTTCCTCCTCCTCGTCATTAGTGCAAGAAGAAATTTTTTTTGCTATATTTCTGATAGTGTCCAAATCAGGATTTCTATCCATGACTTTTTCCATTTCATCTTCTAAGCTCTCACAATTTGCCCATCTCAAAGCTAATCTCACTGCATCAAATATTTCAAATGATTCCATTAGAGAAAGATCGGGTTTCTGTAGTGATGTCAAAGCTGTTGGTATAATTGAAAAAAATTCGTAAATACGAGACAAATCATCCTGAATGTTGTCATTATTATTAAAAAAATTTAAAGCATTCTCTATTGATTTTGCCTCTTGACTTTTCAGCACAGACAATACAGATTTAATTTCATCGAAATGCTTAGCGTAATAGAATGCTGCATCAAGCCAAGTACCCCATCTGGTAATTACAGGTGCAGGAGGTAAAGGTAAATCCGGACACATTTCTTTAAAGCTTTTAATTCTTTTTGGTGCCTTCAAAAAAAACTTTTTTCATATTTGAAATTAAACTGTCAACATTAGGGTTCTCTTTTCTAATCTGCCCCGCAACAAGATTTAGAGCATGGGCTAAACATGTGAAATGCAACATTTTTGGAAAAGTTGATTTTAAAATTC